AGGGAGTAGAGGGGGTGGGGATGGGCTTGAAATTCTTGAAAAGCAGCTTCATTTCTCAGATCCTGGTTCTCAGGTCCTTTGCAACCCACTGTGCTTGGCCTGGATCCTTCTAATAATCCTTGTTTTCCCTCTCTTGGGCAAGTTTTTATTAAAAAATTTTTTAAAAATATTTACTTATTTTTCAGAGAGAGAGAGAGAGAGAGAGAGAGACAGGGTGAGAGCAGGGGAGGGGCAGAGAGAGAGGGAGACACACAATCTGAGGCAGGCTCCAGGCTCCGAGCTGTCAGCACAGAGCCCGACACGGGACTCGAACCCACGAGCTGTGAGATCCTGACCTGAGCCAGAGTCAGATGCTCAACTGACTGAGCCACCCAGGTGCCCCTCTCAACTGACTGAGCCACCCAGGTGCCCCTCTCTTGAGCAAGTTTGAGTGCATATTTAATTGAAGTTGATCTGTAAGAACTTTCTAGACACTGGCTCTATTCTTACAGACAAGTAAACTAAAGTCTAAGGAAATTAAGGTACGCAAAACACTCCTGGGTTCATAATTGAAATTCGTCTATACTTAGAAAAGACGAAAGCGCTAAGCGCTTTGCAGGGACATTTTCTGACCGGAGAATAATACACTCACTCTGCCCTTTCCAAGTGCAGTCCGCCCCATCAGCCTTAAACAATGAACTAACAAAGGGGTAAACTCAAGCCAGAGATAGGAAAATGTGGGAGTTTCTGATTAGATTGGTCCTTTGTAGTCAGAGCGGGTTTTAGCCAGAGACTGGGAGGCTCTGGAAATAAACGATGGGGGACTCTTCCTTTGCTCACACCTTTATCTCCAAACCCTCAAGTATGTTAAAAATGTCTCTTCTGTCCTCAGGCAGGAGGGGCGGGAGGGTTAACACACTAACACAGGAGGCTTTTGAAAAGGCAGGAGCAGTTTTGAGAGTAACTCCTCGCGGGAAGTGGCTTGGGTCTCTCATCCGTCCACATTCCCCAGACTGCACTTTGCTGGCCCATGACCTCACCCAGATTCAACTGCGCCCTTGACTTTATGAGGGGGCACCAACGTGAGATATTTTCAGGCAGAGGTTTTGAACGAGGCTGGGCACGGTCTCAGGCTGGACGCATGGCTTCGGGGCTGCCCTCTCCCTACTACCGGGTCACCCCTTCTGACCCTGCAAGGTCAGCCCCTGCCCCAGGGAGTGTCCGTGCAGACTTCGGCAGGTGCAGAATCAGATGCAGAATGGGTGCCTTTAGGTCATCTGGCCAGAGGCAGTCCAAGCAGTGCTGGGTGTCACGGCATGGAGGGCGTGGGGCTTAGCTGCTCTGTCACAAGGACATCTGAAAGGGGACCTCCCAACGTACACACTGCAGCCGGACTCAAACCTCAAAACTAACCACTTAGTGGTAGCCAGGGGATGGGGGCAGGGGGCGATGGGAACAATTACTTACTGGGTACAGGCTCTTCTCCGGGGTGATGAAAACATTGGAAACCAGAGAGAGGCGGTGGCTATACAACACGGGAAGGCACTGGATGCCAGGAAACTGTGCACTTCAAAATGGTTAATTGAGGGGTGCCTGGGCGGCTCAGGTGGTGATCCTAGGACCATGGGATGGAGACCCGCGTCGGGGTCTGCACTGAGCGTGCTTAAGCCTGCTTCAGATTTTCTTTCTCTCTCTCTCTCTCCACCCCCCTAGTTGCCGTGTGCACATGTGTGCGTGCACTCTTGCTCTCTAAAACTGGAAAAATAAAGAGGCGCCTGGGGGGCTCAGTTGGTTAAGCATCCAACTTTAGCTCAGGTCATGGTCTCACAGACTGTGGGTTCGAGCCCCATGTCGAGCTCTGTGCTAGAGCCTGGAGCCTGCTTCAGATTTTCTGTCTCCCTCCCTTTCTGTCCCTCCCCTGATCGCGTTCTGTCTCTCTCTCAAAAATAGATAACCATCAAAAAATTTTTTTCAATAATCAATCAATCAATCAAATAAAATAAGTAACTGGATATAATGTGAATTTCACTTCAAAACAAAACCAAACAAAACACTCCCAAACCCTACACAATCAGAAAAGTCTGGAGATGCCCAGCCTGAAAAGTAGCCCCTAGAAAGAATTAGTAGGTGATTCTGACGTGGTCCAGGTAGCTCACTGGTAGCTTCCTTTAAGATCAAGTCATTCCTGAATTGTATCCTTGACTTTCAAGCAAATCTACAGTTCTAAAAGAAAAATGTGATCACCTGTTTATTTTTACTCTAAAAATTAAGCTCTGGGGCTCATGTTTGTGGCTTGTGACTTGTTTCCACTGGCCGGCACTGACTCGGAGATCCCTGCCCACGTGAGCCAGGCGCCCTCCCAGGACCCAGGTAGAGGGGGGCCCCCGGGCAAGGAAGGAGTGGTTGAGGCCACACAACGCGGGCTCCAGGATTGGGATTCTCTACTTCCTAATAACTCTCTGAACTTGAACTTGAATGAGGTTACTCCCTTGAGCCTCATCTCTCATCTGTAAAATGGGCAGCACAAAAGCGTAGTAGATAAAGCTTGCGGAGGGTGGTTGGCAGAAGCCTTCCCAGGCACTGGCTGAAGTGTGGGAACGAGCCTCGGTCTCCCCTGTGGGGGAGGAACTGAGCTCAGCCCTGGGCTGGCACACTCCCCGAGGAGGTGCAGGGCCAAGTTCTAGTACTTGCCGGTGACGCGGTCATTCACCGTGGCCTTAAAGTGACGAGAACCAGAGTCAGGGCTCTCCTGCTCCCTCCCATGGTCCGTCGTGCTGAGAGGCAAACATTAAAGCAGGTGCTTTAAGAACCTGTTTCTGGGGGTGTGACAAGGAGCTCAGCAACAGGTTAAGACTAACTCGGAGTCGCAGGGATCACGTGCAAATCACAAAATCAGGCACCGGCAAAACTCTGGACGAACACACTGACCCTGGGAGGCCCCACCTGACAATGAACTTGAGATAAACCAGACCTTGAATATTAAGACGCACAGAGAAACTGCATTTATGCTCGAGGGGGTGGGGGAGGAAAGCACAAAAACTGGCCACACGTGTTAAGATCCACCTCCCCCGCCCCCCCGTTATTTATTTATTTATTTTTACCACAGCCAGCAGATGGTCTCTTTAAATGCTGTAGGACATATCCACTACCACTGAATTTCAACCCCCAAAACAAGCAAGGGGGACCCTCCCCCTCCAGGCTCCTAGGAGCCCGTTATGCCAAGATGGAGACAGGAGGCACGACTCTGGCTCATGTCTAGAAGGAAGGCGCTGGCCCCCCGCCTGCCTTCCTCTTCGCGGGCATCTTGCTCCCCGGGGAACCCTCGTTCGGTGCCAGGACTTGCAAGCTGCATAAATACCACTCAGGCTGCCGCTGGTGCAGGACAGGGGTCCCAGGCAGGGGCTCCCACTAACTTCCTGCTACTTACTTAGGAGGCGGTGGCCCGCGCTTGCCAAGCTAACCCCCCATCCAACCCCAGAGGCGAGACCAGGCGCGGGTCGGACAGGGAGCCGTGTTGTACAGCCCGCTGCTGTCTATCAAGTTTATCTAGAGAAGAAAACCGAGCTGCATGTTTGCTGGTTGATTTCAGAAACCCTGGCATTCTGGCCAGTGCCAGGCCAGAAGAATGCTCGGAATTTGGACGCCTTTCACTGGGTTTCGCTGCAATCCAAACAGACCACAGCCTCCAGGGCAAGGGGCTGTACTTATAAGGCAAGGGCAGAAGTATTTTAAGTCCTGAGATCTTAGTGGGGGGGGGGGGGGGGGGGGACTGACCCAGGGGTCAGAAGGCTCCTAAATTCCTCACGTCACTATTAAAAGCCCCCAGGGCGTAACCTGCCGGCATCCCAAACATTCTTTCCGTCCTAAAGCAGAGACGGGGATAGGAGACCTGATCTAGAAGGTGGGGGAATGAGAATGTTGGAACAAATTCCCATCATCCATCCCCCTCCCCAGCTGAACAGAGGATATGGAAGGCTTAAGGGAAACCTGGACTGAATCAAGCAGCTGTCCGCTTTCTTTGGAAGGGCTTTTATTACTCAAACATGATCTGGAAGGGAGCAGGCCCCCAAGCTGTTCCTTACAACTCCCCTCTCCCACCCACGGTGCACAGAGGCCCCGTGTAATTCTAGCTGATCCTTTCCCCTGGGGAGGACACACGTGCGGTTTTCAAACACAGGAAGGCCGCACCGCGTGGTGTGGACGACCCCGCCAAGGGGACTCTTCCACTGCTGGCCGATGGAGTAAGAACCACGAGCCGCAGAGACCCCACTTTGGAGCGGGATCACGTGGGGACTCGACTCCTCCCAGGAGCAGGGAGTTATGTACAGACGTTAACAGTCACGACACAGTGTACGCCTGAAACCAATGAAGGAACACTGTAGGTCAAGTGCACCTTCGATAGTAAAAGTCAAAAAAGAGAAAAGGCAAGAAAGTACCCGAGGACAGCGTCCACTCGTCCTCGCTGCGGGACGCCGCCCCTGCTCGGGAACACGGGCGATGCCTCCTTCTGATGTTCTGCCAACGCGTTCTCGGGACAAATGCCTTCCCAGGGCTCCCCAGTGGGTGACCCGTAAGCGCGGCCACATGGCGCCGTCTCAACCTGCACCTCGTCATGGGTGGCCATTGTCTGGTAGCTCATCACTCTTCGGTTTTAAGAGTAACTCCTTTGTGCATACACAGAAGGACGGCCCACCTGGGCTCTGCCCACCTGGCTTCTGGGTAGAGCAGAATGTTCCATCGGCCACACCAGAAAGGGACGTCACCGGTGCTGGGCACACCGGTGCCATCTGACCTTCCCGTATTGGGGACACTGAGAGCTGAGGAGGTGGTGAAGACAGCCCCGAGGGAAACGTCTGCAGTGCTGCAAACGGCCAAGAAGCTTCCAGAAGCGACTCCCCGCTCCGGGGCAGCTCTGCAGGCGCGTGGGGCCATCTCCCCACATGCTGGCCACGACACCACACGGCCCCCACGAAGCAGGCCCGGGCGGCCACTCGCCCCCACACCTTGCCGGTGCGGCTTACCTGCGACGGGCCACGGGCTTCCCGACGTCAGAGCAGAAGCCCCGGGAACCGGCCTTCCGTCCCGAGGAGGGAGGTGCTGCAAGACACAAGGGGAACCGAGGACTCAGGGCGTCGGGTCAGCCGGACTCTTCGGGGTCAGAGTCCCCTCCCTGTGCTGTGGGGATGTTGGGGATACTGTGCCAGGCCATCAGGATGCCCTGCCCATCCCCATGGCGTTGGGTCCCCGGCCTGGCACTGCGCCGCTGCAGACCCTCCCCGGGAAGCCGCCCCCACCCTACTCCCCCCTGCTGCCAGGCCTGCAGGGCCTCCCCAGGCTTGGAGCTCCTTAGGGTCGCGCTGGGCTTCCCTGAGACCCCTGCAGCCCCTCTGTGCACCACCCCAATAAACGTCTCGCACAAAGACCCGTGTCAGCGTGGGCCTCCCGGGCAGCCCGGCCTCTTGTCATTTCCCCCAGCGCCGTGTCTGCCTCACCTGCCCCTGCCTCTGCTGCAGAGCCCGGCAGGCGTGGTTCAACACAAGAGCCTGATCAGCGGGAGCCCGGCCGCCTGGCCCGCAGTGGCTCTCCCTCCTCACACACCACGCAGAGTGGCTCGGGAGCTGCTTCGGATCCCACCCCACTAACGCCACACTCCGGAGCCCACGGCCGTGAAGGAGTCCGTAAGCGGGGATGACGGGACACAGCGGAGGGACTGAAGGTCACCACTGCGTGACCCCCTCGTAGCCACGGCAGTCCCGGCCCGCGCTCTGGACGGGAGTACCGGCTGCTCTGGGGCATTCTGGAGCCTCCCGTCGTGAAATGTGAGGCTGAAGTTTCATTCTGGAGACCCTCCTGAAATCGAGGCCGCCTGGCCTGTGACATTCTGCCCCTGCCCCCCCCCACCCCCACCAAGAAGATCAGCCCAGTACAGACCCTCTTGCGTGTAAATCTTTCACATGCAATGAAAAGGGGTGTCATGAAGAATCATTCCCTGCGATGCTGGGGCGGGGGGCGTTGTCGGCCCTCCCAACCCCCCGCTTGGGGCTTCAACAGTAAAACAAACTCCAGACGTACAGGAGGCATGGACACAGGGGAAGGAACCAACCCGAAGCAAAGAGACAATCCGGCACATGCACGGCTAACCCCGAGGTAGACAGAACTTCTAAAGCTGAAGCCATGAGCGAAATCACGGGGCAAAGGGGAGACGGCTCGATCCAAGTCAAGGAACATCGAGAAAAGGCACCAACGTGAGAAAACGTAGGGAAACGCGACAAAAGATTTAGATCCTGAGGAGTCAGGAGAATGTGGGGGGTGGGGCCGGGTAACAGGCGGCCGCTGTCCAGCCCGAAGGTCGGTTTCGGATGCCTGTGCCCCGCTACCCACGGGGCCAAGGAAGACTCAAGGGACTCCGCGAATACGCGCCAGGGTGCTCGCGGTCCTTGGAAGACGGATGTCAGAGACCGCATCACGTCAAAGGGGGGAAACATGCTCAAGAGGCCGAGGAAGGACAGGAGGCAGTGACAGTGTTCACAGAAGGGGGCTTCTGCTTCTTTGGACTTCTCTAATCTCGCCGATCTGTTGGACGGTGAGGAGCACGCATCTCCCACTGTGAAAAGTCCCTCCTCCCAAGTCACGATACCGGCCTGTGTAAGAACTGGGGGCCCTTTCCCATCCCCCAAACGCTCAAGTCTCGGCTGGGGTCGTTCTGACCGGGTGCCAGCTCTGGGGGCCTCGTTCCCTGGCTCTGGTCCATATGCGGGCGGGAGGGGGGGGGGGGTCGGTGAGACCTCCACATGGTCCCCGCCTCGGACTCCCCAGAGCCCATCTCGCAGGCACAAAATAAATGTTTGCTGAGGGACTGCAGGCGGCTGCCCTGTCTTAACTCCAAACCGTTGCCAGGATTTCTCTTCATGAAGAGATTTCCACAACACTCTTCACGGCTGCTTTACGGGCTGAGTCACTTAGCATTCGGGGTAAGGACCTTGCAGGCTCTCTGGGCTTTCCATTCACTCTTTCCAGAGGATTATTTAGGGAGAGAGCTGTCACTTACAGACCCATGGCCCGGAAGCTGAGTTGTCCTGCATCACATGCTCTCTGGCAGGAACCGCGGACAGTGGGGGTGGCTGGGTCAACCCCTACCTTCCACCTAATATGGGAGGACCCAATGTCTTCCGGCAAGCTGACTCAGAACTGTCTAGGCTGGACGGTGGGCAGGTACTGTTGCACATGTGCACACACATACACACACACACACACACACACGGAACCCCCTGGCAATTCGGTGTTGGCAGTGCGGGGAGGAAGGGGGTCTGGCTGTGAATGATCCTGCCAGTGAGGTCCAGGGTGGACGGATTAGGTGGACAGTACCTGCTGGCCCCTCTCCAACTCCCTGGCTCCAACCACATCTCCAAAAGCCCCAGGTTTCCGCACAAAGACCAGCTTTCCTGGAGGAGAGCTGGTGTGATATTTGAGCCAAGCTCTGCTCTCCCCAGGGAGTGGCCATATGCCCGTGGGTCTCCCCAGTCCCCACGGCCCCCAGGAGGAACCACAGGACTTAAGGCGTGTTCATCAAGTCGGCATCGAGTCCTGAAGCCTGGAAGATGCCTAACTCCCTGATTTTATTTCAAGAAACATCAGTGCTGTTGTTGGACAAAATTAAGGGAAATCTCCAAGAACCACCAAGCTGTCAAAAAGCAAAGCAGAGACACAAGCTTCTGTTGATTTGGGGAGTCCCCAAACACAAGTGTCTTTGCCCTCATTCCAATGTCCCCTGTGCACCTGTCAGTAGCTGTTTTAACAGCTTACAGTGTCAGCTGAAGACACAACTGCAGAGGGTTTACCCTCCTTGAAAAGGTCTGGAGGGCTGGGTGTGTAAATAGTAAGAGGCTTGTGACATTTAGATGGGAAACTATATTCATACAAACACAGAAGTGACAGCTTTGTCCTACATTCTCACCCCAGGACAGTCACCAGCAAGAACTCAGCCAGGCCCTCCATTTCCCCTGCTGTAAGATGGTAACTTTCTCCCCTCGCCCCGCAAATTCCTATGATGGAATCTTGCCCTAACCCCCAGGGCCTCAGAATGGGACCTTATTTGGGAATAGGGGCTTTACAGAGGTAATGGCGATTAAAAGGAGGTCCTAAGGGTGGGCCCTGAGCCCGTCTGACTTTACAAAGGGGGACATTTGGAGGCGTGCACACACAGCAGGTGAAGACAGGGGCAGAGACTGGGGATGTGTCCGCAAGCCAAGGAACGTCAGGATGGCCAGCAAATCACCAGAAGCAGAGGAAAACCAGGGAGCAGATGCTCCCTCACCCCCTCGGAAAGAACCAGTACTGCCGATGCTCGATCTCAGACTTCTAACCTCCAGACCCGAGAGGCCACCCACCGTGTGCTCTGCTACGGCAGCCCTCGGGGATCGCTGCGAGACAGGAAAGAAGTTCCCATGATCCCTCCCGCCCGTCCCAGGGGCTGCTGTGGGAATGACAGAGCTTCTAAGGTTTCCAAGCCACCAGGATGGACGCGTACGATCCATCAGCGGGAGGGACCCGCACACGCCAGACCTGCCGGTCTCTGGAGTGGCTCTCCCTCGCACCACCTCTGTCCTAAAAGGGTAGAAGTGGTGGAACAGAGTAGAAAGCAGAACCAGATACGTCCTTGCCCCTCATCAGAGGCCAACGCTGGCCCAAGGCGAATCCGGTACTTCACCTGCCCTTGTCTGCCCCATGAACAAAGCATGTGTTTGTATTTTTGAACAGTTTGGGAGGAATAAACAAGAATATTTCGTGATACGAGTATTCTATGAAATTCAAATGGCAGGGTCTGTAAGTCAGGTTGTAGTGAACCTTGAGCCACGCCCATGGGTTCACACTCTAGTTCTTCTGCGTGTCCAGGACCCAGCGGCCGGGCCAGAGACCTGTGGCACACGAAGCAGGAAATACTCACCGTCTGACCTTCTACAGGGAAAGTCGGCCGACCCCGTTTCTCTACCAGCCCTCCTTACGCAATGGGGCAAAGGGCCAGGCCGTGGTTGGCTCAAGCCAAAGGAAAGTGGGCATGTATCCACAGGTGCCTGGCTAAACGCCAGATGTGCTGGCCAAGATGGCAGGTAGGATGAGACGTGGCAACAAAGGAGGGAAAGAAACACAGAGAGAACGGGCCCAAAAGGCAAACTTCATTGATTCAAAATTGCTAACTAGACCTACCTCTACCTCATTAAGGGAGGCACTCGGACCTCCCTCCGTCAGTGGGGACCCCCACTCTGCCCCCAAGTGCAACACCATTAGTCTCTATGCAAGTGACCCTCAAGACGAAAAGGGATCGCATGGTTGGCCATGGACTTCACCCCAGCCTTTTGGTTATGGAAGAAAAAGCATTCCACTCCAAGATAAGCAATTAATAAAACTGAAAACAGCACTTTGCTAATGGGCAAAGGCCTTTGTATTTAATGTTATCAAAATCAATACTCTTAACACTGTTAACTGACAATGTTTTTAGGCTGGTGGTGGATGACAGAGCCAAGTGAAAGTGTCTGAGATCTCACCTGGTGTAGGTGGTGACCTTTTCTTACACAGAATGGGGACCTGGCTCACTTACCTTTCCCATAATTACACAACATTTCAAACCTTACAGATCATGTGATAAGCGATATCCTTTCCTCTCTCCTGGATTAATCCTGTATTGAAAATTAAACACAAATGGGGTCCCTGGGTGGCTCAGTTGGTTAGGTGCCTGAATTCGGCTCAGGTCGTGATCTCACAGTTTGTGAGTTCAAGCCCCGCGTCAGGCTCTGTGCTGACAGCTCAGAGCCTGGAGCCTGCTTTGGATTCTGTGTCTCCCTCTCTCTCTGCCCCCTCCCCTGCTCATGCTCTGTGTCTCTTGCTCCCAAAAATAAACATAAAAAATTAAAAAAAAAAAAAAACCAGAAAATTATGCACAAAGGGACAAGGGTTTATTGAGACAGGCAATTGGACACCCACGGTGGTTTATTTACCGGTCCATCTGCTCACTCTCCACGACTGTGGGTTCCACTGGGACACCTGACGTGGGAAAGAGTCCGTGGTCAGTCACCACGTGCGGATGGCTGATGTTAATGACT